AGATTTACAACTAATTAATAAAAACACACTAATTTAATCTACACAATGACCTATGTTTCTAACTATTCATCAAATACTTCTAAAAAATCTATACTCTGATTTTACCAACAGCAAAAACTATTGATAATTTCAAAAAATTCCTGCTTTCCCTACACTATACAAACTATTAAAATTTTTAAACATTTACCTAAAAAAGATACTGGAAACCAACAAAGCAAATTGGTTGAAACAATTAAAAGAACATTCAATTTCAAAGTAATTTGCCGTTTTTGAAATTTATCATCAAACATAAACTTTTTGGACATTAAAGTATGTTTCCAAATGGCAAAGTATAAAAAAATGATGAATAAACATATTGATGTTATTAATAATCCAAAAATTACAAATGAAAACTGCCAACCTTCCAATTCAACACTAGTTATATGTATTGTAAAGCAAACTGGACTATTTGAATGATACATCTAAGTTGTTAATTTACTTTTCATCAACAGTCATTACTAGCATGGGAAATGGAGGTACTACTCACAGGATATAACACAAAAGGAAGTGAAGATATCAGTGAAGCTGTTAGAAAATTCAAAACAACTAAAATTTTGGATTTGTAAGGAGTGAGAACTTGTTTCATTGGTTTTGTTATAGAAAAATATCTCTCTAATGAAATCAGCAATATACTAAAAATAGACACCAGAATTGACCAACTGCAAAACCATCCAATGACTTTACAGTAGATGCTATTTCTCCATTCATAGTCATGTTCAATATAAGTACCTTTGAAATATTCAGTAATGCCAGCTATCAATATTAAATAGCATGAAGTGCAAAAATCAGCAAAAGAAAGACTAAGATGAAAGAGATTAGTTCTTTGATTCTTATTGCTTTTAAACACTACTCTAAACAACACTGTAGTCAAATTTTCTACAAATGCCATACTTCCCAATATCCAAAGTGTTGACTTTGTAGCTTTTGATTCTATGAGATCTTCGCAAGAATTAAATATTGCACTGGATGGATTGCAGCTCTTAACCTTCTTTGAGTATCTCCAAGCAAAACAACACAATGAAAAATAGTTGCTGTTCAATTCTTCCAGCATCTTTGTTGGTTTCAGCAGTGTATTAACACCTTTTAATGAGATTTCAGTGTCTTTTAAACTCAATTTTCTCAAAAGTATTATGTGTCTGAATACATTCCGACTGAAGTAAATGATATGTGATTCATCAATGATTAATTCAGTAAGATTTGTGGAATCCATCAAAAAATTATCACTCAAATATGAAATATCTGTCGACGAAAAGTTAATTGTCTTGAGATTGATGGTGTTAAGCAATCTGCTTTTAGGATCAATGTTTATTCTGCCATTAGAAATTGTTAACATTTGTAAATTCTTTAAAGAATTTCCTAAGTTTGCTGACACATTTAGCAACTGAAAGTTGGTGATTGAGAGAAAAGCAACATTTGGAAATATTTTAGAAATTGCCAAGTTTTTAATAGAACAATCATGGATTGACAGAGACACTATTGAAAAAATGACAGTATTCATGGAAGAGTGGTCATCTATTGTAATATGAGTTGATTTATAGCTGTCTAACAGATTCTTTTCAAAGTATGCTTGGTGGAATGAACAATGGATTGTGTGGAAATTAATCACGTGACAATTCTCTGAACTACTTCTGTTCAGATGACAATAAAGTTCATCACTTCCTTTTAGACAATCAATTATTCCATTACACACTTCATTGAGCATAATGTACAAAAACTGTTGTCTACATTTAAAATATCCTCTTGGCCTAAAATCATCTGCATTTTATTAATTGATTGCAAGGTTATTTTTTCACAGATTGCCTTTATGACATACCACAGTGCTGTTCATCATCATAGTGAGTACAGTGAACAATTCCATCACAAACCTGTTTAATTGATATACAGTATGCAGCATATTGACAAAGATATTGTCCTCTATTACAAAACTTTCTATCGCATGACATTAAATTAGAAAATGGAAAGTGAACTTTTGTTAAAAGTTTTCCCATTGATGTATAAACAACTTCACAGTTTTGCCTTTTTTCCAATCTTGAGCACATATTTTGCAAAGTAACATTAAATTTGTCGCAGAAATCATATTTCTCATCATTGCCATTGACACAGTTCATTTGTTTATTGCATAGTTTATCTTTTGTAAAGCATTTATTATCACATTCAAATTTATTGTATTTATCACAATCTGTCAAAAATTGACATGAATAGTTTGCAGAGTTTGAATTATTGAATACATTGTTTTGTTTACCTTGTTGAGTAAATAGTTGATTTTCCATACTACATTTTTCATCACTTTCATCATGACAATTTTTCTCATCATCACAAATACTCTTTTCATTGATACATTGTTTATTGTCACACCTAATTGAATAAGACATTTTGAAAAAGCAGCAAGTATAACTTGTTTTAATTGGCCAAACAATGTTTTTATAATTTTACTTAATTTGTGCTTTGAGGAAAATATGCTGTTGCTTTCTTTCTGTTAAAAATGCATTGTGTTGGAGTCTGTTTAAAATGGCCACTTTGATTTGTCTTTGAGGTTAGATTTTGGGTTGGGAATGGGTTACTAACTAAGAGTAGGGTACAATGAAATCCTTAAAAGTGGTTTTACGGGCTGGGTTAAAGTAAAACCACTGTGAGTGTTTTTAACAACATTCCATTAATGATATTTTGGAATTGGTCTTTTTTTCCTAAAAAGCCTCAGGTTAGAGCTCTTTTCTAAACAAACATTTAGCTTGATGCTGTTTTTTGAAAAGGCTTTTTTCTTTACTTTTGATGGAACATTTTTAATCAATAATTAAATGTTGGCCTATCAAAGTTTATGGTGTCCATATTTTCCTCTTGTTTACTTAATATATAAAAAATGTGTATATATATTAGGCCAATTAGATGGAGCAATATAATTGGAGGAAAAATAAAGCAATACATTGCCTGGTTTGAACAGTTTTGATATTCTACAATGAGAAAATGACAGAGAGTTTATTGATATTGGTAGAAAACAGTAAATTAATGAAAACTTGCCACAATTGATTTCATCCAATCTGTTAATGCAATCATATACAAAATCACAAACAAATTGAAGAGGAATTGAGTGGTTGCTTTGACAAAAAAAGAGTTGAGATTGACTACAATTTTGTTCATCTTCACCATAAAAACAATCATTCAAGCCATCACACACATTTATCATATTAATACAAATATCATTTTTGTAACAGTTGAACAAATCTTTTCCACAACTTTTAAATTCTTTATTCTCTAATTCAAATGATAAAGAAATTCCAATGTCATCTTTTTAGTATGAAAATAAACAAAAAGAAAACAAGTTCATTTTTTTTCTGACATTTTTCTTTTTTAATATTTAATTCTAAATTTTACTGGCAATTTTACAAAAGTTATCTACAAATAGTTTGTCAGTGCAGGACACTGGAGCCACGGTATATATGATTTCTTTAAAATGATAAGTAAAGGATTCCAAGAAGGACTTTTCATAAATTAGGCATTTAGGTTCAGTTTTTTTGTGAAAATTGTTATCATGATTTGCTGATCCATATAGATTTTCACACTCTTTAAAGAAACTGGGAAAAAGGAAAAGAATTAGATGGCATATAATTTGTACCTGGATTGATTTAGATCACTGTTGGATTATATCATGCTTCTGGTATTTTTTTAATTATATTAATTGTATTGGTTTGTAGTTTTTTACAGTTTGTTTTAAACCAGAGTAGTGTATGTTGAATTATGATTTATATAGAAAAGGGAAAACTTAATTCAAGTGAATATTTTTTAAATAAGGCATGATTTAACCCAAGATTCTTTGCATTTGTAATCATATATTTTGAATTTTTGAATTAAAGTCAAATCATAAGATTGACAATTGCTTGCTTAATTTTTAATCTTTTATTTTACTTTGTATGTATTGAAAATGTAAATCCATAAAACTCATATGGTTTTTTGTCATCATGTACAAGTATTCCACGTTTATTGACATCTTCAACAATTTTTAACTCTAAGGAAAATAAAAGTTTTTTGTAATGTGGTATTGCTTTTAGAGAGATAGTATCAAATATAGATACTTCCTGGAATAGTCCTTTTGGATTTGGTTATATCCATTCCTGTTCCCTCAGTGATTGATGATAACAAGTGATATTCTTTATTGGATGTATAAAATATAGAAAGATTTCTCATTTGACATTGTTTTGATGCTTCATCAACTGATACTCTTTTAGCATGTTTAATTTGTAAATAACAATTATTTTCATAGTGATATACATTTGCTTTTGAACATTTAAAATCTTAAATGAATACAAAAATGGCAGAGTGTATTATAATTTCTTGTTTTGTTAATTACTTAATTTATTATTGCAATGCACAAAAGCATAATGGAGTCGATCCTCACTGTATCTAATGTAGGAAAAATAGAAATACAGATATATTTTAGCAATTGTTATCATTAACAATGTTTTGTATATTTGTTCTGGTTCTAGAGGGAGAGAGAGAGAGAGAGAGAGAGAGAGATTGGGTTGAATCCTACTCTTTTTATCCAATATTCAGTAAAAAATTGCTGCCATTTTTGTGAACCAGAACAAAATATTATCATAACCTTACACATATTTCCCAAATTTTTCAATAGTAATTCTACATTGTGATAAATTTGATGGATTTGGACAATTTAATAAAAAGGTAAAGAGGTCCTTAAGAGTACTGTCTTTATTTGTGAGTTTTAATGTGCCACTCTTAAATCCAAAATGTTTACATATACTGAGTACCTCAAAACTTTTTAGTTTTTTTGGCTTAATGTAATACCATTGCGTTTGATAATATAATAGAAGAAAACCTGTAAATTCTTCAGATAGGTTTTTTGATCCATTTGTTGCTTTTAACATAAAATTTTTAGCATTAAGTAAAAGAAAATCATTTTCTAAAAAGAAATAACTGATGTTTTACTAATTACTAAAACCTAACACTATTTATGCCTTACCAGCAACTTTATCATCAATACAATTAGCATAATAGAGATATCCCCTAACAAATTCTTCTTGAAGGCATCCACTAAATAAATCTTCAGTCCATTTACATTTGGTAAACATTAGTCCCAGTCTCATTTCCCATGAATAGCTTAGTGATGGACAATAAGAATGATAGGGCAATCTCTTTAATAACTCTACTTGTTCTAACATTGGATTAAATTTAACAAGTGGTATGTGAACTTTTTTCTCAATGAGACATATTAATTTCATAACAAGAAATTTGTCAACATCATTAAAAACTAACGGAAGCAGTCCAAATGTCTTAGATAAAATTAAATATGTAGTCATATTAACATTAATTTTATTAAACAGGTATTTTTTGTAAAATAATGACATTTTCACTAAACTTGTATCTGCAGAATAAATAAACAGTATGTATCAATAAAAAAAAAATACAATTTTGTAATTTAACAAATAAAAAATGAAATTTAAATTATTTTTTAACTAATTTTAAAATATTTAACAGATTTGTTTAAAATTAGTATATTAACAAATTAACTATCCTGTAGAGTATAAAATCTGTATTTTTTTAATTTTCCTAACCCTAAACTAAAACATATCAAAACAATCTAAATTTTCATTGATTTTATGTTTGGTTATATTTTGTAAATGGATTGATTCCCATCTTAACATATATCAATACCATTTAAATCTTTGTGAGAACAATGAATTTGTTCATAATCTTTATCATGATCAGTAATATTTTCAAAAATATTCCAATTAATTTCTATATCTTTTTCATAATGAATTAAAAGTTTTCCATATAGAATTGCTGTATTTAGTATAAAAAAATCACTTTTAGAACAAAGTTCAGTGAAATTTTCCATTGATTTCTTTTTATATACAAGAAAATTTTTTTTATTCAATCTCATTAAAATATTATAAGTTTTTTTAATTGAAAAAGTTTCATTTAAAAAAGCAAATAAATCTAACAAAATTTAAAAAAACATGGTAAATTTATCAAAAATATTTAGAGATATATAAGCATGGAAATAGGGAGGGACAGAAAATGATAATAATTATAGAGTTTTATCTTGACCTTTGACCCATCCCTTTCTTCATAATCACTCCTTTATTCATAAAATTTTTCGAAATCCAAGTTTTCCAATAAAGGATATTTTCTGTCAGCCCCTGCTCCATCCATAAAAGAAAGCTACTTACACATAGTTTTCAGTTTATAACATTTTAAACAAAATGAACCAAGATAAGCAGCATTATGCTGTAAAACTTGCCTGAAAATGTTTTATTTATTCAAATAATGTCATATTTAAAGAGTATTAATGCTAAATTTTTCTTACAAAAGGTGCATTCCAAACAATTTTGTAGGTAACAATGATAAAAAGTCTATTTTTTCATTTATTATTATTTACCATAAAAAGTAAATGAAAAGTAAAATACCATTTTTTGGATCACAAACTTCAGCAACAAAGTGCAAATCATCATATCCCAACATTCTACAAAGTTTTTTATGCTGATAGTCATTAATGCCAAGGCCAAAAGCCAATTTATGAGTTTTATTTGTCAAATTTTGTATTAAAAAAATGGTACCATATACAAATCTGTCATTTTCAATAATTGGATTTATGTAATATTTGACATCTGTTTCATCAAGATATGGATGCAATAAATATTCACGCTCAAAATTTGTATCCAAAGCAGGACATCCACTATGTAAATCAGAAATTACTAATTTAAATTGTTGAAAAGTTGCAATCAATTTAAAAATTTGTAATTTATTCATTTTTTGAAATGTTGAGTTGTATTAGACATAAAAAACAACAGGTTAAATTTTATGCAATTTGAACAAGGCTAGTTTGAAATCTGAGTAAAATAATTATTGCAAAGGTGTAATAATTTCAATTTGAAAAGGATAATCTGAATAAAAATATTAGAAGTACGGGAAATATCTTCATTTGTTTTAAGCTTCAATTAAAATAATTCTATTCAATACATTTCTTGACAAATTTTTCATTGATGGAAATTTTCAAAAAACATATAATTTTTTATATTTTCTTCATTATAACTTCAACTGTGAATTGTAGATGTAATTATCTTGAAAATGGTGAATATTTCCTATATGAATATCTGGATGAAATCAATGTTACATATCATATGAAATCATTAATTGAAAATGAAAAATTTGTTTATGGGAAAATATTTTTAAAAATTAAAAATGAAAGTAAAATATATAATCTTGCTTATGGTCTTGGAATTAGTAACAGATTGCATAAGAAACTTTGTAGAATGCTGGGATATGATGATTATCATTTTGTTGCTGAAGTTTGTGAGCCCAAAAATGGTATTGAAAAGATTGTGGGGTTGAATCAAAATGTCCCATAATAGAAAAATTAAGTAAAAATTCAATATTTCAGTATTTAGTCTTTTTTTTCAAGCTAAACCTCAGCTTACTAACAAAACATGAGAAACAAGTAAAAATTCAAAATGGCTGACATTCTGTTCAACATCCTACAAATGTTAAATTTGTATGTAAAATGAATAATTACATTTTGCAAAATACAGAATTTCTATCACTTATGCCAAAAAAAGTTTCTGGGAAATATCTTTTGTGAGGGAAAATTCAATATATCAGAAAGCAAATATTCAATATTTCCTTTCCTTTATTTTAGACAAGTACTAAGAGAAAATCCATCTTTTCTAGGTTCATTTTGCTTAAAATGTTTTAAACTGCAAACAATTTGTGAGTTTTTATTTGTAATCAATGAGTTATTTTGACCAAGGATTTTTTAATGAATTATTCATAGATTTTTTAGCTGTATATAGCAACCAACTTACAGCTAGAGATAGAAGATATAAAACAACCTATGGAATTATTATGAGATTTAATAAAGAAAATTTTCTTTTAAATAAAAAAAACACGAGAAGTGAACACAACATTTGTAAGACAATTGAATTTTTCACAGATGACAATCTAATCATAAGTGATGTTTATGGAAATAATAAGATAAGAATGCTTTTGATAAATTATCATAAAGGTATGAAACTTGACTGGAGTAGTTTTCAAAACAGCACTAGTGGTGAAAATATTGAGCCAGTTGCATGCAGTCAAGATGAATTATATGGTAATTCGGATTTGATATTGTTGAATGAAAGATACAAATCACTCACTCCTCTACATTTCTCTTTTAAGCGAATTTCTAGTTAAAATAGATGAGGACATAATATCCCAAACTTATCCATTGACAAATGTATCATTATTTTGTTTATTCCAACCCTAATTTTAGCCATCAGCCTAAAAAAGGTCTGAGAAAGCCCCTTAGGTTTTAGAGTTTTTTCCCAGCTATATTTAAAAAAGAACATGGGTTAAAAACCTGTCCTTTATCCAAACATTTAATCATTCTTAATTGTATTAATGAAAAAAGATTTTTTTTCAATAGATTATGATTTTAAGTTCGTTAAAATGACATCTTTTCAAAAAGAATATATGTTTTCTGCAAAATTTCCCAAATTGACTGGTTATCTTCTATTATCAAAGACATTTGGATTTTATCCATTACTTTTTTATTGGATTGGCAACTATGAAGCTATTGAGTTAATTTGTAATCTGGAAGGAAAGTTTCCACTTTTACATTCTTCTTATTTCAAACAGTTTAAAATGGAAAAAACTGTAAGTTAAAAATACTTTTGAATTGTCAACTGCCAAACTTTGTTAAATAAATTTTAAATATTCTGTTATTAAAAGCAATCTACAACTGGATGCCCTCAATTAAGTTATGCTTTGGAAAAAAGAACAGGACCAGTATTTGCATATTGTGAAAACAATGGCAATATTAGATATGGATGCTCTTTAAGAAGTTTTCAAGATCCTTCAGAAATATTTCTGCCTAGATGTTTTGATTTTTATGCTTCAGGTAAAAAAATTTCTGTTTTTAATTTAAATCAAACAAGCCCAAGTTCAAAAATTATATCAGATTATGATTTTATTTTGGTGAATGAATTTAGCTTTTTACATAATACAACACAGTTAAAACATAGAGGAGCTGAAAAGTTTGAGGGTTATCTCTTAGCTTTTTATCAAGGAAAATCATATCATCTTAAACATCTATTAAAAAGTTTTGAGGTGGCAATTATTTGTAAATACTTTGGCTTTGAAGGTGGTACGCTTAAGGATAAAAAGCGTACTTTATCTTTACATTATGGAAAAGGATTTTCTTTCAATTGTCCATTTCTATCAACTTTATCCGAGTGTAACATTACAATGAAACAGGAAAACTCTGGGTATTTTCTGACATTTTATCATCAATTTCCCACCAAAGTTGCCATTTTAATTTAGAGGATTGGGATGAGTGGGTATTCTTTGGGTTTCAATGAAAAAAATGGTGACTTTGATGTTAGGTGAAATGTCAGAAGTTATCATCTAATATTTAATTACTTTATTTTCATAGGCTATTTTATGATTATTTATTACAATGTAGTAATGATTCAAGTCAATATTAATTTTGTTAAATAATTACAAGATATAAATTTTCATTTTTTAAACTCATAGATTCCAACTGTTTAAAGCCAAATACATATAGCTTTCAGGGTTCATGCTACACCCGTTTCATTTATCCTAAGAGAGTAACAATTAATCAGGCACAAAATGAATGTAATACTATAAATGCATCTCTAGCATATCATACAACTCCTGAGTATCATTTTATTCTTACATTTCGAAAACTAATCCCTGGAAGTAAGTTACAGTTAAAAGTGTCATCAAATTAAAAAAGCACTTGCCATACCTCAGATTCAAATTTAAAAGTTAAAAAAAATATGTAAATTAATAGTTAAATAAAATATCTAAATCTAATCTTCATTTGATGACACATTTTGTAAATGGAACTATAATATTCTTACATTTTTAATTTCCTCAATAATTTCCTAACATTCAATTTTATAGAACTGAAAGTCATTAAAGATATAAATAAACATGAAATTCTTGTATATGATGATGGAAAACCTTATGAATTTTATGGCTATACATTACAACAATTTTCAAGGTATTTCATCCAAAAAGTTTTAATTAATGAACAAAAGAACACATCTATTTAGAATTAAATTACATTTTACCTTAAGATATCACACTAATAATCTACAAAAGTAAATCACTGAAATCTCAATTTATCTCTAGAGCATTCCATATAATCCAATTTTAAAATTTCTAAATCAGCAATCTTCCCATTATTCCAGAAAATTTACAATACATATTTTCTGTTTTTTAGATTTTATGAAATCTGTTTTCAAGAAAAATATTTAATCCCAAACATTAACATTAATATTCATCTTAAAAATAGTCTCAGATGCTTTTATATGAAAGATAAAACTAGAAATCACAACATTCGTTCAGATTATCTATATGGCTGTGGTCAAAATTTTCTTGATGAAAACTTTTGTAAAACTGCCAGTAAAATTTAGAATTAAATATTAAAAAAGAAAAATGATAGAAAAAAAATGAACTTGTTTTCTTTTTGTTTATTTTCATACTAAAAAGATGACATTGGAATTTCTTTATCATTTGAATTAGAGAATAAAGAATTTAAAAGTTGTGGAAAAGATTTATTCAACTGTTACAAAAATGATATTTGTATTAATATGATAAATGTGTGTGATGGCTTGAATGATTGTTTTTATGGTGAAGATGAACAAAATTGTAGTCAATCTCAACTCTTTTTTTGTCAAAGCAACCACTCAATTCCTCTTCAATTTGTTTGTGATTTTGTATATGATTGCATTAACAGATTGGATGAAATCAATTGTGGCAAGTTTTCATTAATTTACTGTTTTCTACCAATATCAATAAACTCTCTGTCATTTTCTCATTGTAGAATATCAAAACTGTTCAAACCAGGCAATGTATTGCTTTATTTTTCCTCCAATTATATTGCTCCATCTAATTGGCCTAATATATATACACATTTTTTATATATTAAGTAAACAAGAGGAAAATATGGACACCATAAACTTTGATAGGCCAACATTTAATTATTGATTAAAAATGTTCCATCAAAAGTAAAGAAAAAAGCCTTTTCAAAAAACAGCATCAAGCTAAATGTTTGTTTAGAAAAGAGCTCTAACCTGAGGCTTTTTAGGAAAAAAAGACCAATTCCAAAATATCATTAATGGAATGTTGTTAAAAACACTCACAGTGGTTTTACTTTAACCCAGCCCGTAAAACCACTTTTAAGGATTTCATTGTACCCTACTCTTAGTTAGTAACCCATTCCCAACCCAAAATCTAACCTCAAAGACAAATCAAAGTGGCCATTTTAAACAGACTCCAACACAATGCATTTTTAACAGAAAGAAAGCAACAGCATATTTTCCTCAAAGCACAAATTAAGTAAAATTATAAAAACATTGTTTGGCCAATTAAAACAAGTTATACTTGCTGCTTTTTCAAAATGTCTTATTCAATTAGGTGTGACAATAAACAATGTATCAATGAAAAGAGTATTTGTGATGATGAGAAAAATTGTCATGATGAAAGTGATGAAAAATGTAGTATGGAAAATCAACTATTTACTCAACAAGGTAAACAAAACAATGTATTCAATAATTCAAACTCTGCAAACTATTCATGTCAATTTTTGACAGATTGTGATAAATACAATAAATTTGAATGTGATAATAAATGCTTTACAAAAGATAAACTATGCAATAAACAAATGAACTGTGTCAATGGCAATGATGAGAAATATGATTTCTGCGACAAATTTAATGTTACTTTGCAAAATATGTGCTCAAG